AGCCCACGACTTCCCCCGCGGGCTGGACTAGCCTACTCTGGATCCGCTGTGTGCTTGGAGCGCAAACTTCAGTGAAGGGCGTCACTGCTCGCAGGCTGGCCGCTGCCCCAGCTCCACTTCTGACCCTGCTCCATTTGTGCCTGTTCTTTTTTCCGCCTTTTCCGTTCTTCCCACTCAGCTTTGTGCTATAAAAGGGGGGCACCATGATGAGCAACAGCAGCTACTTGGAGCCGCAGAAGCTTCCTCCGCAGTTCTACCAGAGCACCACGGACACCGGCGAGGAGGAGGAGGAGGAGGAGGAGGAGATGCCCGCCACCGAGAAGGACCTCGCCGAGGACGCTCCATGGAAGAAGATCCAGCAGAACACCTTCACCAGGTGGTGCAACGAGCACCTAAAGGCCCTGAACAAGCGGATCAACGACCTTCAGAAAGACCTGAGCGACGGGCTGAAGCTGATCGGGCTGCTGGAGGTGCTGAGCCAGAAGAGGATGTACAGAAAGTACCACAGCAGACCCAACTTCAGACAGATGAAATTGGAGAACGTCTCCGTGGCGCTGGAGTTCCTGGAGAGAGAGCACATCAAACTGGTCTCCATCGGTAAGTCTCGCAGCATCATACTCTGAGGGTGGGTGGCAGAGATCCTGCTCTGTTTAACATTTGCAGACATGCTGAGGTAGAGTTTGCTGATGAATCACGTGTTTAGTGTGTGAGAACCCGGAACTGCTAAGGTGGAGGAGGTGGGCTTCAGGTGTCAGCAGCTGCACACACACCTGATGAGTGGTCCACAGGTTGTAGAGGCTCGTCGCCTTCACATCAGCTGTAAATAGTTTTGGCCTTTCCTCGTTTTTTAGATTTAAAGTCGTGTTCATTACCAATCAGTGTTGGAACAGCTGAAGAGGATTATCAGGAGTAGCAGCCTTTGACCCTGGCAGGGGCTACCTACCAACAAGCACTGAAAGCAGCTCAGAATTTCACCTTAAACAGGCTAGTCAGTCTTTTTCTCTTTAAAAAAAATCCCTTAAGGGACGCAGAGACCAAAAGACTTTATCCATTAACTTGTCTCGTGAGTCACAAAATAAGGTCTTTTAGTTTACTGAAAAAACCTTAGAAAAAATCAACTGGACTTAAGATTTCTAGATCGAAGACGTTTCACCTCTCATCCAAGAGGCTTCATCAGTTCTGATTGACTGGTGTTGAGCCGGAGATATTTATCCCCCTTGGTGGTGTTTCAGTCCTTTGAAGGCCAACAATGTCCCTTAACAACTGAGTCGTTGCAGCCCAGTATGGATGAGAGTCTGGGCTGCAAACTGCATTAAAATTTCCTAAAATATTAGAATCCATTAATGAGAGTGAACGCCGAGAAATTCATCTTTCTGCCTGAGAAGCATGCCTTCGCCATGTTTCTGTACTGTGCCGGTGCAGCTGGTTTCTGTGCTCAGTGCTAACGGTGTCCAGAGGCATCCACAACCTGAGAAACAGCTGTCGGCCTCAGCTGTCACTGTTCGTGTTGGCTGTTTCCAGAAGGGTTACCCTGCGAGGCTTCCCCAGCTGGTCCCAGATCTGAGTGACAGATAACAGGAGTGCATTCAAGTATGACTGAGTGTGTCTCTTGTCCTGACTCCACCTCAACCAAAGGAGAACCTCGCTGTAGAACACACACCAGTCATCCAGGCTGAAACATCTGCTGCTGCTGTTTATCCTCAGCACCCTTCCGGGAAACACACTGAACCTGAAAACAAGTGTTTTGTCTGTACACGTTCAGTGAAGAGACATATCGGCCTTGTACTGTCTCCAGTGTGTTTTTACTCCTTCGGACAGCAGTGTGCTTCTGTGACAAGACAACAGGAGGTGCGTCAGGCCTCAGGGCCTGTGTGGTAGCCGTTCTGGACTTTCGTCCTGCAGTGCTGAAAGGTTGCTGCAGAGAGTTGTGGAGATGTTCGGCTTCTCTTAGTTGTGTGGCGCTTCAGCCAGAAATAAATGTGCACACCGAGATGAGTGAGATACAGTGAAACCTGATTCAGATGCTGGGTCCACCACGTCTTGGTCTGCTGAGGTCAGGGCCCTGTTATGTCAGGGGTCTGTTATTTGGAATGGCGTAGGTTTTCCAGGGGTCTGTTTAGGACTCCTGCTCTAAGAGGCCACATACTGAGAGCGGTCCTCGCAGGGCTGGAGGCGTTTAAGGAAACAGGAAGTGAGCTGGACCCTTGTCGCAACAGGAAACCAGTTTCATCTGATCTGGTTTCCCCTGCATCATTTGAGCAAGCGTCAAGTCGGACTCTGTCCAGACTGGGTTTATACTGGGAATGTTTGGTTCTGAAGGGGTTGTGTTGGTGAGTTGTAGTGACCGCGAGCTAATTAATGTCCAGTCCTGTTATTATTTGTATTAACCGATGAATGAAGGGCAAACAGGATGCAAGGTTGAAACGTCACCAGTGAGCTGAGAGGAGGTTTTGGACTCGAGAGCTTCAGACGTTTCTACACTTTTAAGGAAACTAATTTAAGTTTCAAGCCATAACTTCTAAAATACAAATGTGTCTCTTCCTGCTTTGTGTCACTGTAACTGTCAGTATATTGTTATTCTTTATGTTTTGTACTAAAACCAGTTTAAGGTGTTTTGTTTGTTGTGCTACTCTTTACTGCAGCGTGTTTGTTTTCCTGGAAAACATCACGTCTGAGTCATTGTGCTGAAATGTATTTACAGCTGAATCAATTTAGTTGATTGACAGAAAACAGTTATGGTTATTTTGATAATTAGTTGTGTTTTAATCATTTTTCATGCAAAAATGGCCAAATTCGAAGATGTCATTTCTGCTGTTGGAAGCTATGAAAGACAATTCTTCACCATTTTATGACATGTTATATTTCAAACACTTTGATTAATGAAACAAATAATCCACAGATTAATCAATAGAAAGAGCTTTATTTCCAGCTAATGGGCAGATCTGATCATTTTAGGTGACTTTTACTTTCTGGTTCACTGGCGACACCATTGATGTTTCCATTCAGAGAAAATGATTCAAAGGAAGCAGCAGATCAGTGAAGACAGTGATGCAAACAGGGTCCGCATGAAACCTCCTGACCTGTAGTGATTTTTTTGCAATAAATCGAATTTATTTTACTCCCAAGTGTCAATGTTTTTGATTGAACATCTTGAAAGAAAGGAATCAAAAAATGTTTGTGGTTATTTGATGAAAAACTACATTTCTATTAAAAACTGAGCTGAATTTAGTCAAACTTTTAAAGTGGCTCTGATCTGCTGGATCCACATGTTGTGATTGGAGGCGGGTCAGAGAGGCCCAGAGAGAGGACAGCGTCGGGTGTTGGGGAGGTGGAGGAGGTGAGGGTGTGTGAATGTGAAGTGATTGATGGCAGGACAGCTGAGCTCTGCTCTACCTCCACCAACAGCTACTGAAAATAGACCTGAGGATGACGAGCCTCTGATAGAAACTCAGGAGAACGCAGTGAAATTAAAGGCGACTTTGTCAAAATGTCCAGTTAACGGTTTGATCTGTGCACAAATGGTCGACACCTGTGGGTTTAGGCTCTCTTCTGGTCGAACCAAGAACCATCGTGACATGTGTCTGGAGGAAGGATCCGTCACAGCCCTGCTCTCAGCGCCCTCAGCGGTTTGGAGTCGGCATTGCTCGCTGACTATCCTCGTCTCCACACAGTCTGGGCTCTTGGGGGGTGAAGCAGTACCCGAGCTCCAGGTCTGTCTCTGTCACTGGGTGTTTGCAGGTTTCCTCTCTGCTCTGCGAAATGTGTGTCAGTGACCAGACTCTCTCTCTCTCTCTAATGATTGCCATGTGTATCATTACACATGTGAAGAGGAATGTTTAGCTGAAGCCAGCCTCCCCCACACAGCCACACTCATACTAACACACTACACGCAGTATCTTTCTGCCACTCTGTCGCTGTTTAACCTTTTTTAAAGGCTCAGTTCACCCAAAAGAGTTTGAAGGAGTTTTGTTTGTTGCACTCTCAGCGATGAAATATAATGCTTCAAATATTCAGCACAGTGTTTCCGTTACTCTGCAGACAGTGGATCCTACACTTCCCATAATGCACTTGGATGGTGTCCACGTGCAGCAGAGCCTCCCAGTCAGGCAGACACTGCACTGATTTGGCCTGATCTTATCTCTGAATTGGTCGCCACTGACTAATTTGAGAATCGGGTTGAACTTTGGGCAGATCGGCTGTTTGGTGTGGACCGGGAGCTCAGATCTGATTCCTGATTGATCAGTTGGATTTCTGGCTGTCTGCAGCTCCCCGCTCTGGTTTCCCTCATGGCTGCTGTAGTGAGCTGGCTTTAATTACCGCAGTAGTATTTGACATGATGTAGTAACACTGTAGTATCCAGACTGAGGAACATCTTCAGACATCTGTATCAGTCTTTTTTGTTCTTGCTCTGCTTTACCATAGAATCACCAGATGAAACTACTATTTCCTTCCAGTGTGGAACTTCAGAGTGTAGAGTTACCATTGGACAGTCAACACAGTGCGCTAGTTAGTAAACTGTATGTCAGACAGTTGTAGTCTGATTACATCTCTGGGACATCACCAGACCCAGCTGCTGTCACATGCTGAGGAGGGCTTCATCAAGGCACTGACAACATCCTTTAAAATCAAACTCTAAAATCAGCCATGTGTCATATGGACTTCTGACATAAAACTAGAACAGCTGGGTGGTTGAAATCTGCTGTCTCGTTATCAAGGCTGATTCGACTCCGAACAACAAAGCTTCAGTTTAGTTACTGTCCATCCCCCCAGCAGACCACATGACCTGGAAGGGGGGTTATGAATGCTGCCTGTGTGTGGGAGTCGACAGCAGAAGGATGAAGGTCAAGAAAGTGTGTGTGTGTGTGTGTGTGTGTGTGTGTGTGTGTGTGTCAGCTGTCCTCACAGTTGGTCTGAGGTGTTTCAGCCAACAACTGGAGGGTCAGCGGGTCCTTGACAGACCGAAACACACCGTATACGATGTATTACAGTACGACTGATTGTAGGTCAGCAGCTGATCAGTTATTGGTTTCCGTTTTTAAGCGTTTTTACAGCAAATGAATTTTCTTATTTTTTTTAAAGCAGTGATGAATAAAACACACTCTCAGGTCTGTTTTGGTTATGTTGGCCCCAGGAAACAGGCTACATCCGTTTTCCCACAATGGCAGTGAAGACACGGTCATTTATCTCGGCTCTGAAAACACATTCTAGTCAAGTGGACAAAAAGGTTCCTGACTGATAAGTAGAGTTTTGTCGACAGTGTCCTTCTGTTTAGTCTTTTCCAGAAATGAGGTGTTCACACGTTCCTGTGCAGACAGTTTCCTCAGTGTTACTGTCACTCTTGAGGTTCTCTACCCTGCAGCCTTTGGCTGCAAGTGCACATTTAAGGCTTTTATAGGTCACAGGTGTGTGTGTGTGTGTGTGTGTGTGTGTGTGTTTAAGTAGCTCAGCACTTTGTGAAGGCTGAATACACTCAGGGGTTTTCAGGACAAACAGCAACACATTTATACAGCTGCTGTGTCTGATGAGAGTTACTTCACTGCCATTTAAACAGTACACATGTGAAGACAGACTTTAGTTTGAAGGCCTGATTTCACACTCAGCTGTATCTGATCTCTCACCATCATTCTAGTGTGTTTACCTCCAACTGTAATTGTTCACACACACCTCACACAAGTAGAAAAACTGCACTGGAGAAATTGAGAGGTCTTCACATAAGATTAAGAATACAGAGTTAAATATTCAGCCTAAGTTGGACGATCAGTGGAGGCAGAATGGAATCGATTAGAGCTCTGTCCTGTCAGCTGGTTATTGATCTGCTGTACAGTCCTGTGGTAGGTCTGTTGACTGGAACAGGACAGAGAACGCCTGAAATACCTGGACCGGTGTCTGGCCTCACCAGAGGTTGACAGGTTAGGTGTGAAAGCAGTGACACTCCTTTCAGGATGGGCTTTACATTTCATGACAGCATGAAAGTAAAGCTCATTGGTCTGTGATTTGTTGTCTCATGTTCTGGTTTTTATCATGAAGGGAAACCCAACAGGACTTCAGTCTGTTAGTCTGGTTTTCAGTGCTTTCCCTCATCGTCACTCTCTTTTCCTTTTTCCTCTCTCCCTCTATCATTTCCTCTCTCTGCTCTGCAGCCTCAGAAACCTTCCTATCTAAATGTCACATTACACAGTTCCTCTGTCTGTTCAGATAGAGGGGTGCACAGAGGGGGGCTGCCTTCCTCGGACACAGCAGTCTTTCTATCAGGATGCCATTGTCTCAGCACGGCGACCTTTAGCTTGTTTGTTTGGTAACCATTGGCAACTGGCAAACATTAGTGAACAGGCCCGGTTGTTGTTTGGCAGGGCATCAGAGTCTACTCCTGATTTCACAGCCTTTCCTGAGGAGTGTTTCTGCACTAAAACTGCCTGGAGATCAGCAGATCATACTCTGAGTCAGCCGATGTTTTGTGCTACTTTTCTGCTTCCCATTTATTTTTATTTCATGATGTACAGTGAAGAGCTCAGTGCCTTGGTGAAGAGCACTTCAGTTGTACAGGCCCACTTTTTCAGCTCGTTCTTCACCGAAAACTCTGTGGACCTTGGGACACTGTTGGCTGAAGTTCCAGCTATAATTTTCATTTAAAGTCAAATCAGCACGATGCACCAGAGATAAATAAAATCCACTGAAAAGTGCCATCAGTGGGGCTGAACTTTGCTTTGCATTACTTTCACTGGCTCTTCATGCTAAACCATGGACAGATGATGAGAAAATAGTAATTTTACATCTTTTTTGGTTGTTTCTCATCTCTTTTAGGATCAGACATTTGGATTCTGTAAGAAGCTGCTCACAGTGTGAACTCCCTGTGGGACAGGATTCAAAGGTCATTCAGTATGTGTTCAGGGTGCAGACGGGGAAGAGCAAACAAAATGCAGCAGCTCCTGTTTCCTGGGGAAAAATTACAGCGACACGCCGATAACAGCATTTCATATCTGGACCTGACTAATCTCTGGAGATGGAGTTTCCTAAACTCAGACTAGGAAAATATGATTTCATAATTGTGTGCACGAGATGGTGGAAAACATGCATAGATATTTCCACAGAGATTCCTCAAGTCCACACACAGTCAGCACAGACTGAGCCTCAGTGTTGCAGCGTTAGCCATGTTAGCATCACAGCTCTGTGAGGAGTCACTTCTGGTAAAAGTGTTGAAAAGGAATGGAATGGAAAAGGGCAAAAAATGTAGGTTTAAAGCACTAAAAGGAGTCGAAGAGTAAACGGTAAGTTAAAGTACCAGCGAGAGTGTTGAGAGATGATCAGAGACACGGGGAAACAGATGTGTCAGTCATTTGTTGCAGAACTTTGTCTGAGTTATGGCAGTAAGGGTTTTGGGTTTAATGAGGAACAGCTCAACGTTCCCGCTCCTGGACATGTGTGCATGTGTTTCCTATTTAAACTGACCTCATTTCTTGGGCTGGGTGTTGAATGACATCATCTCGCAGCAGATTGACTCTCTCCTGTCGATGGGTGAAACTCTGCCATTTCTGTGCACACACATCTGAAAGGCATAAACTTTTATTTTGGTGGGCAACATCGTGATTTCACCAAGCTTTGTGATAGATAGTGTATTTAGCTTGTTACCCCACACAGCCCCTGTCGGAGAAGGACTGGAGTGTGTAGAGTAAGAAACCAGATGAGTTTCCACTGTGACTGTTCTGATTAAGACATACAGATGTCTCTTCTGTTGTAGTGGAATTGAGATGTAAATACTGAAAGAAGTGGAATCATTGACATGTTTGTAGCACCCTGTGTAAATACCCGGCTGATCAGTTTGTTCATTCAGATTGATAGAGTTGTGAGTCTGAGAAGAACTCGTGAGGCTTGATGCAAATTGTGTAGAAGCTTTAATGGGTTTGTTGTAAATAAATCCTGCAGTACTGAGTGTGTGGTAGGTTTTACTAATATTTCAGGTGTTACTGCCTTTCAACACTCCTGTCACACATCCAGCTGTACAGAGATATTGTTTCATGTATTTTTATACACTGAAATCAAGTCTGAGCCCACTGGGATCACCACAGTCTCTAACACTGGTTATTCTCAACTGCTCTTTTTGCTACAAACCCATACTATGACTCACAGAATTAGCTTTAAACTGTTAAAAAGTGACATAGACATGCTGCACTGGTCTGCACACTACAGTAGCAGTGTGTAATGAAAGAAAGGGCTCATATAATGATTGTCTGTATTTCCCACAACCTGTCCTCCTCTCTGTCCTCCAGACTCCAAAGCCATCGTGGATGGGAACCTGAAACTGATCCTGGGTCTGATCTGGACTCTGATCCTCCACTACTCCATCTCCATGCCCATGTGGGAGGATGAGGACGATGAAGATGCCAAGAAACTGACCCCCAAGCAGCGTCTGTTGGGCTGGATCCAGAACAAGGTGCCGCAGCTCCCCATCACCAACTTCCACCGAGACTGGAGGGATGGCAAGGCACTGGGAGCATTGGTGGACAACTGTGCCCCTGGTAGGAAACACACAGTCAAAGAATCATTAATAACCTATAGTCAAAACTGGAAGTGGCCACATTTTCTAAATAAAATGTACATGCTCTTGCTTTTCTGAAAGGTTGCAGTTGAAATGTTTGAAACTGTCTTTGCAGTGCATGTAACCACTGGGTTGACTGTGGATCATCTGCTAGACACTCGGGTTTCATTTAGCTGCAGGCGTCTCATGAAAGTTGAGGAAGCTGTCTTTGACCTTTAAACAAAAGTCATTCAGCAGCAGCTGAGAAAGGAAAAGAAGTCGAGGACAACAGCAAGTATCCCCTCACTGGCATAATCCATTTTCTGTGACCTAAACCTGACTCTACCCCAAACCCCTAAACCACATCTGCATCATTGAACATCTCTTACTTATGGAAATGTTCAGTCTGTGCAGAAAGTTCACCTTTGTCCTCACATTCCAAACATGTTCCACCTTTCTAAAATTGTTCATGTTTATGGTCCTCAGTCGACTCCTCTTCTCAGCTGTCTGACAGACTGTCAGTGAGTTAACAGCAAAGTGCTCAACTGTTTCTCTGAGCAGGTGAAACCACTGCTGAGTTAAATCTGCACTTTTGTATTTGCAGTATTGAATGCCAGCTGGTGGTTTATCAGGTTCAGGTTTCAGATTCTTGAAATCTATGCTGATTATCACCAAACAACATGCAAAGAGATGCATTCTTTATTACATGTTAGTGTAATCAGATCTTATTATCAGCTTTATTGTTGTGGCTGAGTTTTGCTTATCCCTGAGTCCAAGTGGATGTTTGTGCCAAATTTGAAGAAATCTCCTGAAGGTGTTACTGAGACATCACTTTCACAAGAATGGGACTGGCATAGGTACCGACAGTCCAAAAACATCACATTTCTGGCCACAGCTGTCACTGACAAGGAGGCAAACAAAGGGGCTGTTGTGTCAGAAGAATCTGACCATGTTCTTCCATATTATATTTTTCTGTACCAACTGTGTCTGTTTTAGTTGTTCAGTGCAAAACAACTCCTTATCAGATCATCTGTCTGTCTTCAAGTCCTACATTGCTACAAGATATTTGTTTGCATGTCTCCTAAGGAGTTATTCATAAGAACCAAAATAAAATGAAAACTATTCCTCTTATATTTGAAAGTAACAGGACAATCAAACGTGAACTATTAAATATCAGATCTCTCTCGTCCAAATCTCTGTTAGTGATTTGATAACTGAACATCACATTGACTTATTGTGTCTGACTGAAACCTGGTTACAGCAGGAAGAACATGTCAGTTTAAATGAATCCACTCCACCTGGTCACAGTAACTGTCACAGGTGGAGGTGTGGCAGTCAGCTTCGACTCCAGCCTAGGTCAAAGGTCAAAGTGTTTATTTGTCATATGCACAGTTAGGAAACATGTTTCCCTGGATGAGGACGATGAAGATGCCAAGAAACTGACCCCCAAGCAGCGTCTGTTGGGCTGGATCCAGAACAAGGTGCCGCAGCTCCCCATCACCAACTTCCACCGAGACTGGAGGGATGGCAAGGCACTGGGAGCATTGGTGGACAACTGTGCCCCTGGTAGGAAACACACAGTCAAAGAATCATTAATAACCTATAGTCAAAACTGGAAGTGGCCACATTTTCTAAATAAAATGTACATGCTCTTGCTTTTCTGAAAGGTTGCAGTTGAAATGTTTGAAACTGTCTTTGCAGTGCATGTAACCACTGGGTTGACTGTGGATCATCTGCTAGACACTCGGGTTTCATTTAGCTGCAGGCGTCTCATGAAAGTTGAGGAAGCTGTCTTTGACCTTTAAACAAAAGTCATTCAGCAGCAGCTGAGAAAGGAAAAGAAGTCGAGGACAACAGCAAGTATCCCCTCACTGGCATAATCCATTTTCTGTGACCTAAACCTGACTCTACCCCAAACCCCTAAACCACATCTGCATCATTGAACATCTCTTACTTATGGAAATGTTCAGTCTGTGCAGAAAGTTCACCTTTGTCCTCACATTCCAAACATGTTCCACCTTTCTAAAATTGTTCATGTTTATGGTCCTCAGTCGACTCCTCTTCTCAGCTGTCTGACAGACTGTCAGTGAGTTAACAGCAAAGTGCTCAACTGTTTCTCTGAGCAGGTGAAACCACTGCTGAGTTAAATCTGCACTTTTGTATTTGCAGTATTGAATGCCAGCTGGTGGTTTATCAGGTTCAGGTTTCAGATTCTTGAAATCTATGCTGATTATCACCAAACAACATGCAAAGAGATGCATTCTTTATTACATGTTAGTGTAATCAGATCTTATTATCAGCTTTATTGTTGTGGCTGAGTTTTGCTTATCCCTGAGTCCAAGTGGATGTTTGTGCCAAATTTGAAGAAATCTCCTGAAGGTGTTACTGAGACATCACTTTCACAAGAATGGGACTGGCATAGGTACCGACAGTCCAAAAACATCACATTTCTGGCCACAGCTGTCACTGACAAGGAGGCAAACAAAGGGGCTGTTGTGTCAGAAGAATCTGACCATGTTCTTCCATATTATATTTTTCTGTACCAACTGTGTCTGTTTTAGTTGTTCAGTGCAAAACAACTCCTTATCAGATCATCTGTCTGTCTTCAAGTCCTACATTGCTACAAGATATTTGTTTGCATGTCTCCTAAGGAGTTATTCATAAGAACCAAAATAAAATGAAAACTATTCCTCTTATATTTGAAAGTAACAGGACAATCAAACGTGAACTATTAAATATCAGATCTCTCTCGTCCAAATCTCTGTTAGTGATTTGATAACTGAACATCACATTGACTTATTGTGTCTGACTGAAACCTGGTTACAGCAGGAAGAACATGTCAGTTTAAATGAATCCACTCCACCTGGTCACAGTAACTGTCACAGGTGGAGGTGTGGCAGTCAGCTTCGACTCCAGCCTAGGTCAAAGGTCAAAGTGTTTATTTGTCATATGCACAGTTAGGAAACATGTTTCCCTGTACAATGAAATTCTTACTTTGCCATCCACATGAATGCCACATAATACAAATGAAATATAAAGTAGATGAATAAGTAACACAAAATCTAAGGCACTTGAAGCAGCAAATGCAGCAATATGATAAAAAAATATAAGAATATAATAAGAGAATGTATGCTGCATGGGAGCAGCATGTGCAGTAGTCAATGTGCAATTATACATGTGCAAACTGAGAATGTAAACAGTACTGTCATGATCCTACCCCTCCCTACCTCCAGCTCACCCAGACTCCTGGTAACATCACTTCATCTAACACAGTGGTTTCACCTGCACCTTAATCCTGCTCACCTGTTTCCCACAGTATATAAATAGCGGCTCCTCATTCTGTGGGGAGCTGCCAGATTGTTCTATGCCCCGTCTAGACTTTCCAGCGTTACTAACTCTTGTGCCTGACTACCCGGAGATCGACACCCTGCTTGTTACACCAATCTGTGAGTTTGCCCCTCCCCTCTTGTCCACCTGCTCTCCCGATACCGACATTCTGCCTTGCCTACCCTGCTGCCTTTCTAGAGATTACGACTTCGGACCAAACTGACCCTGCTTCCTGCCTTGTCCCTGAAAGACTGTTACTGTTTCTGCTTGTGTCGAAGAAATATTAAAACCAGTTCTACTGTCGCAGCTTGCTGGCTCTTTAATAGGGTTCACATGTCAGATAAAAACATGTTACCTCCACAGGAACTGTGCACTCCCGATCCGTGACAGGTAAAGGGCAAATGTAAACATCTGTTGATTATTAGAGTTGATTATTGTATTGTTTTAAAATTCTTTGATTATGTTGAGTTAAAAAACCAAAAGATGGCATCGAATGGTTAAGCAATGAAAAGAGGAGAGAACAGGGGAAGTATGGTCAAATTGGTATAAATCAGCCCTAGACCTAAACATAGTTATAACTCATTTGAAAGTCTCACCCCGAGTCTCTCACACCCAAACTAGAAAACTCAAAAGCCAGTTCTATTTGTTATTGTTTACCATCCACCTGCTCCTTATTCAGAGTTTTTAACTGGACTCTCAGACTTTGTCGTGTTACTGAGACATCACTTTCACAAGAATGGGACTGGCATAGGTACCGACAGTCCAAAAACATCACATTTCTGGCCACAGCTGTCACTGACAAGGAGGCAAACAAAGGGGCTGTTGTGTCAGAAGAATCTGACCATGTTCTTCCATATTATATTTTTCTGTACCAACTGTGTCTGTTTTAGTTGTTCAGTGCAAAACAACTCCTTATCAGATCATCTGTCTGTCTTCAAGTCCTACATTGCTACAAGATATTTGTTTGCATGTCTCCTAAGGAGTTATTCATAAGAACCAAAATAAAATGAAAACTATTCCTCTTATATTTGAAAGTAACAGGACAATCAAACGTGAACTATTAAATATCAGATCTCTCTCGTCCAAATCTCTGTTAGTGATTTGATAACTGAACATCACATTGACTTATTGTGTCTGACTGAAACCTGGTTACAGCAGGAAGAACATGTCAGTTTAAATGAATCCACTCCACCTGGTCACAGTAACTGTCACAGGTGGAGGTGTGGCAGTCAGCTTCGACTCCAGCCTAGGTCAAAGGTCAAAGTGTTTATTTGTCATATGCACAGTTAGGAAACATGTTTCCCTGTACAATGAAAGATTCGTGACAAGTACAGGTCGACAGTACATCACGTATTTCCTGGTAATAAACTCCTCAGCTGTCTAAGAGACTGATGGCAGAGGGAAAGAAAGAGTTTTTCAGTCTGGAGGTCCTACACTTCACACTTCTGAACCTCCGGCCTATAAATCAGCCCTAGACCTAAACATAGTTATAACTCATTTGAAAGTCTCACCCTGAGTCTCTCACACCCAAACTAGAAAACTCAAAAGCCAGTTCTATTTGTTATTGTTTACCATCCACCTGCTCCTTATTCAGAGTTTTTAACTGGACTCTCAGACTTTGTCTGATTTAGTGCTTAGTACAGATAAAATAATCATAGTGGGTGACTTTAATATCCATGTAGATGCTGACAATGACAGCCTCAACAGTGCATTCAGTTCATTATTAGGCTCCGCTCCTTAAATCAGGCATCACGAAAACTGAAAGGAGATGACGCTCCACCAAGTTAGAAGAGTTTTTCCTAGCCTGGAAAGATAGTTTAATAACATATAAAAAGCCCTTCATAGTGCCAGAACCGCATATTATTCATCACTGATAGAGGAAAATAAGAACAACTGACTTCATGAGCTTCTTTACAAATAAAATCACAACTATTAAAGAAAAAAAATCATTAAATCATTCCCACAACTCTCACAGATGTGCCATCAAGTGCAATGGCTTTAGAATCTCAGAATCAGCTTTATTGTCCAGGTGTGTCAGACACACGAGGAATTAGACTCTGGTACATCGGCTCTCAATGTGCATGTACATATCCCCATGCAAGGGGCAAGTAAACAGTAAACCAGCATAAGGCTGTGTAATATGACAAAATAAGCAGTATTAACAAGCAGTAAACGATGCAAACAGACAAAGGAATGCTCATTGAAATGAGATAAATAGGAATAAAAAGTACTTAAAGTACATTAAGAGTACTTAAAACTAGAGACCTGTATGAATCTGTATGAGGTATATTTACAGGTATTGCACTGAGGGTTATTGTCCAATCATACTGTCGTGGGTCAAGTGTTTATCAGAGTGATGGCCTGGGGGAAGAAACTGTCCTTGTGCCTGGTTGTCTTAGTGCACAGTGACCTGTAGCGCCGTCCAGAGGGGAGGAGTTCAAACAAATTGTGTCCAGGATATGAGGGGTCTGCAGTGATCCTCTCTGCCCTCCTTTTGACCCGTGAGGTGTACAGATCCTTCATGGAGGGCAGGCTCACACCAATGACCTTTTCTGCAGTCCTGACTGTCCGCTGAAGTTTGTACTTGTCCTGTTTGGTTGCTGAGCCAAACCAGACAGTGATGGAGGTGCAGAGAACAGACTCGATGATTCCTCTCCATAACACCTGAGTACTGTTCAAAAACAGAGACAGCAATGCTGCCCTGCACTGTAAACATTCAGGGATGTCTTGAGTTACAGCTAGGTGCTGACTGAGATCTGACAAATCTTGAGGTGCCTTTATGTAATCTACTTTTATTCAGTTTGGCTGGCTGACTTTTAAGTTCAATAATCTTTTTTGAACAAACGGTTTAGTGCTCACACTGCAGGGGATTTTTGTTATTGCATTGTTTTGTTTATTGATGCAATATGAACTCATACAGTCATGCCTACAATCACCTTTACAAAGACCTGACTCCAGGAAGAACAACTGGGAGTTTATTAACATCACTGTGGATAATTCTGAACATCCAAGTCATTAAAAACATTTCTTGTCAAATACATTAAAATGATAGAGAAAATTAAAGGTGATTTAAAATCCTTCTCCTAACATACAAAGCCCTTAATGACAAGGCTCCATCGTATCTTAAAGACCTCGTAGAGCCTTATCATCTAACAGAGCACTTCGCTCTCAGAGTGCAGGTTTACTTGTGGTTCCTAGAGTCCACAGAAGCAGAATGGGAGGCAGAGCCTTTAGCTATCAAGCTCCTCTCCTATGGAACCAACTCCCAGTCTCAGTTTGGGAGCCGGACACCATCTCTACCTTTAAGATTAGACTTAACCTCTAGAGTCCTGAGCTTTGGAAACCCAAGCTGTGCGGTCCTCATATGAGGACGCAGGGACTCTAGAGGTTAAGACTTTCCTTTTTGATCAAGCTTATAGTTAGGTTAATAAAAGATTGTTGTTTTTCGATATAACCCCAGTAGGACAGTGAGGGAGGGTAGAAAGGTACTTAATATGTTGCGATATGTCTTCTGATATTTCATGCCATCATAACAACTAATGTGGCTGAACAGGGATAAGACTGATCTCAGTAACTGCCAGCAAACAGGGGGCCTGGGCCATCCTGTTGCTACTGAGTGTATTTAACTGTACCAGTGGTTTTTAGTCAACAGGACGGCCTTCGCTAGGGCCCGTGTAGTGGTGTCTATGAAATTACTGGACACGGGATAAGTTTGGTTTAGTTATAGACCTAGGCTGAGGGGTGTCCCATGATGCTCTTCTCTTCTCCCCTCCCCTCCTCTCCTATATGGCATAACTACCCATCACTAACTGAGTCTCCTCCCTCCCGTAGTGTGTCCTCTCTCTCTCTCTCTCTCCCATACTGTGTCCTCTTTCTCTCTCTCTCTTTCTCCCGTAGTGTGTCCTCTCTTTCTCTCTGTTTCTCTCCTGTAGTGTGTCCTCTCCTTTCTCCCGTAGTGTGTCCTCTCTTTCTCCCGTAGTGTGTCTCCTCTCTCCCTGTACTTTTCTGCAGGTTGCCCTGGCCCTGGAGCTCTATGTTTCTGATGAGCAGTCACCGGCCACATCAACCTGACCAGTGTTTGATTGTTTGTTGTGTCCTGTTGCTTTTCTTCTTCTCTCTCTCCTCTATCCACTCACCCCAACCGGTTGAGGTAGAAGGCCGCCCACCAAGAGCTGGGGTCTGTCGGAGGTTTCTTCCGTTAAAGGGAGTTTTTCCTCCCCGCTGTCGCCAAGTGCTGCTTAAGGGGCTGTTGGGTTTTTCCTCTGTAATAATAGTGATAACAGTAAGGTCTAGACCTTACTCTGTAAAGTGTCCTGAGACGACTTTTGTTGTGATTTGGTGCTATACAATAACAATAACAATACAATAAAATGGAATTGAATTAGACTGAATCCTGATATGAACCTTCCTGTGCTGTGTAATGAGAGACAAAAGATTGCTCAAAACAAATTGGTTTATACATAAAACAAGTCAGCCTATTAATACTTTACCGGCAGAACTTCTCACTTGTTTCTGGAAAAGAAGATATTTGTGGACAGAAAGCTGTGAAGGGGATTTTTTCAGTTTTCAAATTGCTCCAGTTCAAACTGGTTTCTGGCTGCATCATGCTGCAGTTAACATGTAGTTTATGTGGCTTACATGGTACAAATGTGTTGAAACGGACCACTGATTGAGTTGATGTGACTAATGTTGCCTGTGCTGCCTTTAGGTCTGTGTCCAGACTGGGAAACATGGGACTCAAGCCAGCCGGTGGAGAACGCCAGAGAAGCCATGCAGCAGGCTGACGACTGGCTTGGAGTGCCACAGGTAACACTTGCCTCCAGTATGGTGGATCTAACTGTGTGTATGTGCCACCTACATTTAGTCTGCAGCTGCATATTGTTTTCAGGAGAGAACATATCACCTGGGTCACATCCTTCAGAGAAATGTTTGGTTATGCAGTCCTTTATGAGCAGAGTCTGACAAATGGCAGCAGGAACTCCCACCTGTGGTCTGTTTGTAGCCTGCAGAGAGCAGCAGTTTGTTAGCAACTGACACTGAAGAAAATGACTCTGTCTAGTCACGCAATGATGGACTGTTGACTGTCTACTAGTTAGTTAAAGACAAAGTCATATTTTCCTTTGGCATGCAAGTTCCAGTGTTAGTCTCTGTGTAATAAGTGATGATGTGTTTTTAAAAGCTGCATGTGCAGCAGCTGTGCACAGCTTGCACCTCATGTTATCATCACATCTAAGTTTTCAAAACTCTGTTCAGGTTCAGTTAGGTACAATATAGATCTAAAAAGACAATTTCTTAGTCTTGTTGATGACTTTATAAGCCTGTTTTGTCCTTGCATTGTTTAAGCCAATAATAATACTTTATTGTTTTGTACATGTTGAATTTGTTATAGGCAACAAAATATTTGCTGCTAAAGTATTTAAACTTTCTGTAAATATTTCCTGTAACTCTATAAACACTGTAAATGTATGTACATCACCAGCAGGATTACTCCTACATAAATAACCAGTGATCTCTCACAGCATCTTACTACAAACCTGTCAGACCTGTTTGCTGAATCCCCCCAGTGCACTGCAGTGGGGTTTATTGGACTGTCTCAGCTCTCTGGATGGTGGAAGACATAGAATGACACTGTGCTACTGATGCCTGCACTTCACCTTCCTGCACTGGAGCAGCTGTTTAACGTTCAATAGCCCTTTCATGTGTTTAACAGCTCAATCCTTCCTCCAGTGTTTTATCTTGTCTCATAAAGAAGCAGATTTGTTGATTAGATGTGACGATTTCTTCTCTAAGAAGAATGATCTTGGACTCAGATCTGACATCAGCCACACACTTTCACAGTGTTAGTTCATTAAAGCTGCTCTGTCCCTTCACTTAATGAGCATCCCGTTTCATGTTTATTGTCAGGATTATCTGCAGCTGTTAATGAGTTCATCCTCTTGTTCCTGTGCAGGTGATTGCTCCAGAGGAGATCGTGGACCCCAACGTGGATGAGCACTCTGTGATGACCTACCTATCTCAGTTCCCCAAAGCCAAACTGAAGCCTGGTGCCCCACTGAGGGCAAAGACGCTGCACCCCAAGAGAGCTAAAGCTTATGGACCAGGTGAGAAAATCAGAAGTTTCAAACTCCACCCAAAAATAATGAGTTTTCATCCATGTTTATTAGTAAAAACCAGTCGTTCTGTGCAGTGTGAGAAGCTAGTGGAGTAGTGTAAACGGAGCAGAGATCAGCGACTCTCTTACTTCAGACACTGTTACAAAGTGACACCCATTGTTAGGCTGGATGGAGCCAGGTAAGTTAGTAGGACTCCTAAGGCTGGTTAACTCAGAATGTACAGTTTATTATGAACAAAGGACTCTAAGGTGAGGGTGAAGGACAGTTTGTCAGGTCGGCGCAGATCTAGGCGAGGCTTCCCCAGAGCTCGGGAGGTGCAGGAAGGATGTCGGGGGGAACAGCAGGAACCTGCGGGAACCAGGGGGCTGGAGGACCAGGGCGTGCAGATGGATAGGAGCAAGCAGCAGGTCAGGCATAGACAAATGATAGCAGCCCTCCCACAGTTCAAAGTGCTGGAGAGAAATTACCTGAGTTGACTGGAGGGTTGGTACGTGAAGAGGAATTGTGTAGACTTCACAGGCTGTTCGTTGGAAGGGTACCTGAGAGAGGGTTAGGGTTAGCCCAGTGGTAATGTCACCATGCCTGAGCCCACAGGTGCCTGTAATGAGGAGAGAGGGGGAACAGGGAGAAAGGGAGAGAGAGATAGAGAAAGGCAAACAACCCTAACAGCCATTCTTTGGAGCCGTTTGTTGAAAACAGACAGGTCTCACATATCCTGAGGAAGAGACATTTCACCCAGTGCGGCAGTGTTGCTCACTGCAATCTGAAGATGTCACCTTGTTCTGTAGGAATTCTTTAGACTGACGTACTGTTTCCTGATGTTTTATAAACTAAACAAATAATCAATGATACAAAAATAATTGGGGTGACTGTTCTCGGCTCATTCGGCCATCTCTCAACTGGAGGATTGGAGGTTCGAATCTCGGGGCCTGCAGTCCACGTGTCGAAGTGTCCGTGGGCAAGACACTGAACCCCCAAGTTGCCCCCGATGGTTAGAGCCATCGGTTGGTTGGCGCCGCAAATGGCTGCCTCGGTTCTGTACCAGACACAAATTCCTTGTGTGTAACATACTTGGTCAAATAAAGGTGATTATCCTTAGTTTATAATTGATAGATTGATAATGAGAATAATAAATTGCAGCTGTAGATGTACAGGATAGGACAGAAATATCAGTGACTGCTGACGGTGATGTTTTGTAGTGAACTGCAAAGGCTTTTATAACTGAAATAAAGTCGTTTACTTGACAGTTACAGAACACTTTGGAGCATTTTGTTGTTATTTTGCAACAACAGGAGACAGTACTGGCACATTATTAAACCCAGTAATAGTAAAATTATCTTAAGACCCGTTGTTCAGTTTTTCATTGCTCTATAATATAATATCACAAGTGCCACCATTGTCTCAGTCCCTGTCTATGCTTTGTGACATTGCACTACTTTCCTCTGTCAGGTATTGAGCCTAGAGGTAATGTGGTTCTGAAACCAGCAGAGTTTCTGGTTGAGACAGTGGAGGCCGGATTGGGTGAGGTACTGGTTTATGTGGAAGATCCAGAGGGTCACACAGAGGAGGTGGGAACATACATGTAACCCTTTTGCCACATACACTCTCATATTTATCTAAACACAAGAGAGTGAGATCCAACTGCAGTTTGTTTCCATTAGGCCCGAGTGATCCCCAACAATGACAGGAACAGAACTTACTCTGTGGTCTACCTGCCGAAGGTGGAGGGGCTTCATAAGGTAAGACACTCAAACTTCTGAACTTTCAGTGCATGGCAGTGTCCTCATGGCTCATGTGTCTGGCTGGGGTCATCCTGAGAACCTAATGTGTGAAATCTCAGTTATGTGTTATCGGTCTGTTTTCTTAACACAAATGAACAAAAGGAGCTTTGCATTTATACAGTGGCAAGAAATACTGACAAATACTGTATATTGTGCCTACAAAAACAACATATTAGGGTTAAATTGACAATAGACAAAGCAGATTGAGGCCACTTATGTGAATAATATAAGGATTTAATTATTCCTGCAGCAAGGGAGCATTCAATGCACACAATATGGTTGCATGAAGGAAATGCTCAGAGAGCGGTCTCTCTGAGGGTCATTTATACAGTCAGACTTAACAGTCGTGGCAAGTTCTGTGTCATCATTGGCTCCTGGAACAGATATGTCTTTATCTCTGCAGTCTGACTACTTATGGGAACTGAGTTTGTGTAAGCACTTCTTCTTCCGGCTGTTCCCGTTAGAGTTCGCCACAGCGAATCATCTGTTTCCACCTAACTCTATCCTCGGCATACTCTACTCTCGGGTAACTTCTAAAGTCTTTGAAATCACTTTCCAGCTTTATGTAAATCAACAATTCTTGATTGTAGATCTTCTGAAAGTTATTTTTGGTGAGGCATAGCTCACATAAGCATATTCTTCTTCTGTGGAGCAAACTCAAAAGGTTTGAGTGGTTTTTATCTGTCAAAGTAGCTCTAGTCCACACCTCCAACCTCATTTTCTTAACAAGACTTCAGGTATGCTAACACCTGACTCCAATTAGCTTTTTTGAGGTCATTAACTCAAGGGTTCACATACTTTTTTCCACTAGCTCTATGAGGTTTTTATGGTTGTTCTCAATAAAGACATGAAAGATCTGATTTTTTTTGTGTTATTATTTTAGGCACATTATATTTGTCAGTACTCTTGACTTAGATGAAGATCAGATCACATTTTATGACAAATTAATGCAGAAAACCATGAAATTCCAAAAGGAATTTATCTTGCCACTGTAGTTTAGTTCCCAAATCCAGTTCCTGTGACCTGAAACAACATCAAGAGGAGGCAAAATCTAGGGATTATGTTCCAGACCAAACAGTTCTTTTACCTTTCAAAGGGTAAAGACTATTTTAGGTCTAAAGACTTTAACTGCTCCAGCTCTTTAAACTCACACTATGTGATGTTGTCCACAGAAAAATTGTGATCAAAATACTGACATATTATTTTTTATTTGAGTTTTTTCCACCTCCAGCATCTCCAGAGCAACATGCTCCTTCATGTGCAGTGTGTCCATGTCCCCCTGATGAGCCTCAGCCCAGCGCTCCCCCTCTGTTAGCTCTGGGTTTGGTCTCCACCACCTCCTGAGGGAAACCTCTTGCTCTGTAGCTGCAAAATTCTCCTCTGTGTTCACCAGCTATCGCATCATAATCTTACTCGTGGTCTAACATTGCTGACAAGGGCCTCTGATGTAAGTGACCCTGACAGGCCTACTGTTCCCCCAGGTGAAGGTACTGTTTGCTGGGCAGGACATTGACAGAAGTCCCTTCATGGTGAATGTTTTGAAGGCAATGGGCGACCCGACCAGAGTTCAGGCCCGTGGGCCAGGACTGCAGCCAATGGAGAACGTGGCCAACAAGCCGACATACTTTGATATTTATACTGCAGGTAACAACTCAGACTCATTATTTTTGTACCCTACCAGCACCTGCAAATGGTCCTGTTGCTAAATTTATTTCATGTGAAAAATGAGCACGGGAAGAGATGTCTGTCAAATCCTTCTCAGTGCCTGAAAGTCTGGTTGCCTGGCTGTCTGTCCACCAGGGGCAGGTGCTGGAGACGTGGGCGTCATCATTGTGGATTCAAACCGTCGCAGGGATACAGTGGAGATTGTCTTGGAGAACAAAGGTGACAGTATTTTCCGCTGCACCTATGTCCCTGTCCTGGAGGGGCCTCATATGGTCTATGTGACATTTGCTGGTCAGCAGATTCCCAGAAGCCCTTTCACTATCCACATCTCTGAGGGTAGGTCTTTTATAGGTATATCCACCACAGTGGACATGTGCAGGTGTGACTGTGGTCCCTGAAAAAGTTTTAACATCTAAACTGAATCTAAAATGTTCCTGTAAATTCATTTAGAGGTAACATAAAAGGTCTCAATTGAAATGTCATTAATGTGATTTCCTGAAACCTGCAGAGATTCTGTATATGTTCTGTACGTCATCCAATGTATTCAGCATAATGACCAACATCATCCACCCTTCAGCATCGACCGCTAGTCTTTCTAATTCTGATGTCCAGACTGACTAAGAACTACAGGTTTTTGATTTCCCTGACAGCAGAAACCTGCAATTCCGTCAAGGTACAGCTCTGATGACCTTGGTTTTATTGTCTGCAGCTTTGGCTGGGGTGTCGGACCCAGTGCTCTGCAGGCAGAGGTGTGCACAGTTTGATAGACGGGCAGAAAAAGGATCAGTGCGATGAATATGTTTGGATGGACTTGATGTAGGATCTTGTCTGATGTAGTGAGACTTAGCTGTGTGTGATTAGGACTTGATACTGGCCCAATTTTTGCCCAACCTGCTGTAGAACTGGAGCCACCTTGGATAGTCCTGTTGCTGCCATGACCTGAACCCAGATACATAATAGGAGTACAGAATATGGATTAATGGATGAACTTTAGCGAAACCTTATAAGTTTGTGACTTGAGACCTTGTTCATTGACTGAACTTGGTTTTACTTCAGACCTGGATTTCTTTGGCTTCTTGGAACTTGTCTGTTTTTATTTGGACTTGAGTTAGGACTTGATTCAGGACCTGTTTGGAACTTACCTGTCCCTATTTGAGACATAGACTTTCCTGTCTTGACTTAGAACTAGACTTGGTACTTAAGTTTCTTGGGGATTGCCAGTTATGACTTGGAACTTGACTTATGGTGGGACCTAGGACCAACTGTTTTGATCCAGAGTGGTCAAACTTGACTTTGGGCCCACCCCTTAAGACTTGCCAAAGAACAGGAATTGGAATATTTCTATGGTATTTCTAGCTTGAGACTTGTCTTAATTTGCTTCAGAGTCTGGTTGTAGGCTTGACTCAGAGTTCTTTTACAAACCCCAGGTCCAATGAAGTTGGGACATTGTGTAAAATGTAAATAACAGAATACATTGACTTGCAAATCCTTTTTGACCCATATTTAATTGAATACACAACAAAGACAAGATATTTAATGTTCAAACTGATATATTTTTTTGCAAATATTCACTCATTTTGAATTTGATGCCTGGAACATGTTCCAAAAGAGCTGGAACAGGGGCATTTTTACCACTGTGTTACATCACCTTTCCTTTAAACACACCTAATACTGCAGGCACCAAGATTCGAGCCATAACCTTCCGGTCGGGAGACGCCCCGCCACACTACTGTCACCTCCCCATAATAAGCGTTGGGAACTGAGGACACTAATTGTTGAAGCTTTGTAGGTGGAATTCTTTCCCATTCTTGCTTGATGTATGACTTCAGTTGTTCAACAGTCTGGATATCTGGGTGTTGTTGATGTATGACTTTCTCTTTGCATGGTAGAGTTTTAACTTGCACTTGTAGATGTTGCGATAAACTGTGTTGACTGACAAATGATTTTCCAAAGTCTTCCTGAACCCACGTGGTCATATCCTTTACAGAACAATGTCTGTTTTTAATGCAGTGCCGCCTGAGGGATCGAAGGTCACGGGCATTCAGTGTTGGTTTACAGCCTTGCCACTTACGTACAGAGATTTCTCCAGATTCTCTGAATATTTTGATGATATTATGGACTGTAGATCATGAAGTACCTAAACTCCTTGCAATTGTACATTGAGAAACATTGTTCTTAAACTGTTGGACTGTTTGCTCACGCAATTGTTCACAAAGTGGTGAACCTTGCCCCATCCTTGACTTTTGGGATGCTTCTTTTATACTCAATCATGATGCTCACCTGTTTCCAATAAACTTGTTCACCTGTGGCATGTTCCAAACAGGTGTTTTTTGAGCATTCCTCAACTTCCCCAGTCTTTTGTTGCCCCTGTCCCAGCTCTTTTGGAACGTATTGCAGGCATTAAATTCAAAATGAGTGAATATTTGAACAATCTCCCAACTTCATTGGAATTGGGGTTTGTAGTTCCTGGGCCCAACTTCATTGGTGGCCTTGCAGTCTGCTGGTCTAGTTGCCTTTTGGTCTGGACATCTGGAGGTCTTGCTCTTCCCTTTATGTACAATTGTGTCATCATTGTTGTTCCCTCCTTTAGCTTCTCAGAGTGTCCCACCTCCGGGGTCTCCTGTGCAGATTGTACCTCAGTCCATATGCACCCCACCCTCAGACAAGACAAGGAGAGCCCCTCCTCCAGCACCACCCAAACCCAGACGACCAAGTTAGTAGAGGCCTGGGAGTAGGGCTGCCACTGGAACCTGCCTGCGCTAGCCTGGTTTCCTTCCACCTCAGCTCCAAACCATCCCTGAAAGCTCTGAACAGGGATTCCAGCTTTACAGCATGTGCAGCTCCTGCTTCATCTGAGCAGCTTTATGTTCTTCTATCACCCAGAAACACAGTGACTATGGATGTGCTGAGCCCCCTTTGGATGTGTCAGAACTAGCACAGGACGTCTGCTCACTGATCTCTATTATTTCTGGTGTTTTCAAAACCTTGTTTTAGGTGTTTTTATTGTAGGTTGTAAAATTTTTCTCCTAATTTTGTCATGTGAAGTATGGCAAACAGTCTAATTCTTTTTTTTTCTCTTTAAGAGCTCAGAGTTCTAAATCAGTTATATGGATGTTCTCATTTTTAATCCTGTGAACATCTATTTCAACCTCTCAGTCATGTCCATTAAAAGTAGCAAAGAGAAGGTTGAATGCTCCAGCAGTTGTGTTGTGCCATGATGTTAAGCTACGTAGCTTCCTTGATTGGTTATCATTTCCAATGGAATAGGTCATAATCTATGGTTACAAATTAAACCAGTTCAATTTATTCTACATTTACAATATAGTAAGCAAATATAAATGTATCATTTCAGACTTCAAGGCTAAGAAACTCCATGTCATTTTAATTTTGTACAAACTGACCTCCAGTTGGAGCGAGTGCTGAAAATGTCAGTACTAATGCAAAACAATAATTGATTCATAGTACAGATGTCACACGCCTGCTTCTTTTGATATCTGTGTATTTGCAGGACTGGGTACTGTACAACAACATGTGTTGGTACTGGCTGAAGTGTATCTGCAGCACCAATTATTGAAAAGGACTGAAATTATCTTGGGCTTTGGCTTCTTTGTTTGGCATTTTAATTTAGAGGAAAAAAAAACTTTGTAAACCTATTTTATTTCAGAACCCTTTTTGAACAAAAGAAGCCAAAGTAAGACTGAACTTTGTCTGAATACTCTAAGCCTGAAGAAATTCGGATGTAAACCAAGAACTGTCTGATAAAAGAATCAGTTTATGATTCGGTGCCCAGCCTGACATCCAGCATTTCATTCCAACCAGGTAAACCAGTGTCTCGATATCGTCTAAATTACACATATGCACCAGTGAAGTCAAATTACTGATGATTTCACTGACACCCAGAGAAAGTTTTGAGAGTGTGCTGGGTCACCTTAAGTTGATTTAGATTTTTACAAGTGGTCAGCACAATGATCCATCCAAACCCTCAGAAACAACAGGAGTATGTTAGGCTGGCTAGTCACATGGGCAAGGTGGGCACCTGCATTAGGGCCTCGGACCCCACTGGGCCCCTTGAAAAGCCCAGCTTCACTGGGTGTCTCCTATAAACAGCAAACACTAATGCTAACAGCAGCTGGCTTTTACTTGTAGTAGTCGTAGTGCCTCTGACCTATGGCCCTTCTACACATTTATTACACACACGCCGTCCTTGTCATGATCATCAGGCTGACCTGTCCTTCCTATTTCTCCTCACATTACCATAAGTAACCTTCTTTCTCCAGCTAACCATGACACTGTCTGATGCCATAAGAACATGGTCATAATATACACTGAAATTCGTGGTTAAATGTGGTTAAAAATGGCACTGTTATGGAACAGTTGCTTCTTTTTTCATGTCTGTCACTTGTTGAAACCATGACTCTGCAGCTCTGTGTTCATCACATTGATCACTCTAGTTTCTTTTGTCTACATCTTTGCTGCTTGTCCCTTCCACCTTCAGCAGACTGCCTCTCTTAGCAATCGGTGTGTGTGTGTGTGTGAGGCTGGTTTATGGCATGAACGTAATCAGAGACGGTCAGAAATCCAAGAGTGTGTGTTTGTGTTGTTTGTCTGTGAGCACTTATGGAACTCATTAATCTCCCAGTTTAACCATTGTCTCCTCCTGACTGGTCCAAACAGCCTGTAACCCGAACGCCTGCAGAGCGTCGGGCAGAGGTCTGCAGCCGAAGGGTCTGAGAGTGAAAGAAGTGGCGGACTTTAAAGTTTACACAAAAGGAGCTGGCAGTGGAGACCTCAAAGTCTCCGTGAAGGGACCAAGTATGCCACTGTTAAATCTCTAATTGTGTTTGAAATGCAACTTTGAAATGCTGAGCATTACCGAGTGTGGATGTTGTTTCAACAGAAGGTCTAGAGGAGCCAGTGAAGGTCCTGGAGATGGAAAATGGCCTGTATGAGTGTAATTATTACCCCATCATGACAGGAAGATACATGGTAACCATCAGCTGGGGAGGACACAGCATCCCACGCAGGTGAGTCAGTCAGCTGATCTTGTCTTTGTACCGTGTGCGTTAATCCTCGCAGGACAATGACAGAACCGGGTCCAGTCGTGTGGGTGTGGAGCCCATGGAAATGATTTGTTCATTCAGCAGAGTAAAGGTGACTTTTATAGCTAGTGTGCTATAGATTTACAGAGCGCGCCCGTCTACATGAAAGCTTGGGGTTTTGGGGAAAGATTATGTCATGCGATCTGATTTGTCAGTCTGATGGTTTAATATTACACAGCATGTCACAAAAAAGCAGGAAATCTGTTTAATTTAGGAGCTTAAGTGATCGGGTGTTTGCATTTTATAACAAGATTTGTTTCTATAACTTAAAAGATTTTTATCACCTGAGGTATAACATTTGTAAAGGCAGTTCTGCTTTGTTCAAAACCATTGTGGAAACACTGGAAACACATTAAAATATGAAACTATTTTCCATTTATTAAAAGTACATACTGTATATTTCTAATGTTGCATAAGTTAACCCTTTGCATGTGACGTAGTGACGTCAAGGTCAAAGTGTTTATTTGTCATATGCACAGTTAGGAAACGTGTTTCCCTGTACAATGAAATTCTTACTTTGCCGTCCACATGAATGCCACACAATACAAGTGAAATATAAAGTAGATGAATAAGTAACACAAAATCTATGGCACTGTAATGTACTTTTATCTGTCTGAGGGTATGACATCTGTGTGTGTGTGTGTGTGTGTGTGTGTTTTCAGTCCATTTGAAGTACATGTGAGTGAGGAGGTGGGCTCTCAGAAAGTCAGGGCCTGGGGTCCAGGTCTGGAGACTGGGATGGTGGGGAAGAGTGCTGACTTTGTGGTGGAGGCCATCGGGACGGAGGTGGGAACTCTTGGTATGTCACAACACAACACCACACACCTTGATTTACTCTCCTGGGTGAGCAAGTGAACGACCCATGTAAAGCATGAGAAAACAAAAAAGAGGAGTTCAACAGTCAAGGGAATGTGTTCATAGTGACGTCAGGCATCTGTTCTCAGCACCATCTGAAGGCACAGGTGAATCACTGCTTGCTTTAACTGTTCTGTCTAGTTGAAAATATAACATGACATCTTGTCCTTGTAACCGCTGCCAGTGCTAGCAGTTTTTATCAGTGTCCTCTTCTGAGACTAAAATGAATATGCAACATTACCTCAGTTTGTCTCCCCTCAGAATGCACCCAGTTATTTTTATGCTGACATAGCAACAGATACAGTCTATAAACCGAGAATAACATGACACCTCATGTCTGCCAGTATCAACTGTGGCGAGGTGGTCTCAAAGCAGCGTAGTCAGCTGCGGCGTCCAAAACGGTTTCCAGCAAAGTGTTGTATTGGTCTGATGAGAGACTTCCTCAGAAGACGATCTGGTGTTTCCTCGCCCCAGCCTCTGAGAGAAGCCTCCTCGCTCGTCGCTCCTTGCTCCTCAGCCCTCAGAGCAGAACGATGGGAACTGAGACGTACTTAATGATTAGGACCGAGGAGACAGGAAGTGGACCGATAATAAGCGCTTTCGCTGCTGTAGCAGATATACGGGTTACTGAAGATGGCAACAGTGTGAACATTTTAGTGACCTTTCCTGTAGCGCCACCCTCAGGACACAAGCTACATTTTACTCCATGCTACATATTATCATTTAAATAGATGTTTCAAGGCGTAGCACGGTGGCGTGGTGGTTAGCGCTGTTGCTTCACAGCAAGAAGGTTCCGGGTTCGAGCCCGTTTTCCCCGTGCTTGCGTGGGTTCTCTCCGCCTTCCTCCCACAGTTTAAAGACATGCAGCATAGGTTGATTGGTGTCTCTAAATTGCCCGTGAGTGGTTGTTCGTCTGTGTGTTATCCCTGCGATGGACTGACGATCTGTTGAGGGTGTACCCTGCCTCTCGCCCGCAGCTGGCTGGGATTGGCTCCGTGACCCCCTTTGGGACTAAGCGGTTTAGAAAATGGATAGATGTTTCAAGTGTTTATTTATGTTTGTCTGCAGGTTTCTCCATCGAGGGTCCCTCTCAGGCTAAGATTGAGTGTGATGATAAAGGAGACGGGTCATGTGATGTTCGATACTGGCCGACTGAACCGGGCGACTATGCTGTCCACATCATATGTGATGACGAGGACATTAAGGACAGTCCCTTCATGGCTCATATCCTCCCTGCTGCCAACGACGTATTCCCAGAGAAGGTCAGACTGCACCCTGACGGTTTAACATAATTTCACACATATTGTATTGTTAAACCTGACATGTTGGTCCTTTTCAACTCAACTCAGGTGAAATGTTACGGCCCAGGTTTGGAGCCTCTGGGCTGCATCGTCAACAAACCTGCTGATTTCACCATTGATGCCCGCGGAGCTGGCAGAGGAGAGCTGAGGATCTACGCTCAGGTGCGAACACTGAGCTCTTACTAAATAATATTGTGATGGTGGTGTTTTGACAGCAAGTCAGTGAAATCTGTGTTTGTGCCTTTAGGATGCTGAGGGTTTCCCCATCAACATACAGATCACAGACAGAGGAGACAGCACCTACTTCTGTGTTTACATTCCCACTAAGCCCATCAAGCACACCATCATCGTCACATGGGGCGAAGTCAATGTCCCCAGCAGCCCCTTCAGGGTATAACACTGATACTGCTTCAGTCACACAGTAGTGTATTTTCTTCAAGTGTTGGCTTGTAAATAACAAATTATAGAGGAGGACCCTTGAGGTACTGCAGAGGCACAGATTTATAGGAAGTCATACAGAGAAAGGTGAAGCACTGGTTTATACATTTTTCATTTGTTTGTATAATGTAGCACTTAGTGAAATCAGCACTTACAAAGTAAAGAAAGTAAATATGAAACAACCAAACCAAGAACAGTGAAAATGCCAACATTAATAAAATAAGACATATAATACATTCTGTATATACACCGTGCATCCACTTCTAATAGAAACAAGGAAACAAATATTTGTTGTAATTCATTTATAGCTGGAGTGCTTAGACTAAACGTAGTAAGCAGTTAAGCGTTTAGACTTTAACTACGTCTATGAATGAATTAGAACAAATGTGTAGTTACACAGTATAAACATGTGGAGTAAAGGATTACCTGGATTACCTCAGTAATGTGCCAGTTACACCAAATCTACTACTAATGATTGTAGGTACCGTGGGAGTAAATACATACAAATTCTACAGGTTGTAGACCATACATAAATATTAGTTCATATTTATATTGATGCACTCATTCATATGCGCAAACGTTTGTTTATTCACTGTTCCTACACGTGCTTGTATGCCGTGGCTCAGGTGACTATTGGAGAAGGCAGCCACCCGGAGAATGTGAAGGTGTATGGTCCAGGTGTGGAGAGCACTGGGCTGAAGGCCAACGAGCCGACCTACTTCACTGTGGACTGCAGCGAGGCTGGCCAGGGTGAGACCTGATCCAGAGACACACACCTGCCTCTATCTGATCTCGCTTTAGTTTTGTTGTTTTTTTCTTCAGGTTTCAAATGTCCTTCTGGATGATATTTGCATTTGTTTGCCCATATTCTAAAAAGTGCCAAAGAATGCTGACCGTGCTGTATCTGTTATTAAAATGTCACTGTCATATAGTCGTGGACTAAGTGGATAGTACTGCAGTGTGGTGGTTCATTTAGTGTGTACTGCCTCCACAGAGCAGGCTGTTCGTTTTGGCCTCCTCATTTTGTGGAGTTAGTTGCTCTTGTGTTGCAGGTGGAAACTCGGACAAGAGTAGCTTGAACAGCAATGTGTATGGTGACTGTTTTTCCCTGCAGGCGATGTTAGCATCGGAATCAAGTGTGCTCCAGGTGTGGTGGGACCTGTGGAGGCTGACATTGACTTTGACATCATTAAGAATGATAACGACACATTCACAGTGAAATACATGCCTCCAGGGCCCGGGCAGTACACCATCATGGTGCTGTTTGCTGACCAGGTGGGTGCACACACATCTGCTTCTGAAAACATGTTCTGTTTCAGCTACATGTAAATGAACCTCTCACCTCTAATGTTCGAACAGGAAATTCCCATCAGCCCCTTCAGAATAAAGGTGGATCCTTCCCATGATGCAGCAAAAGTCAGAGCTGAGGGACCTGGACTCAACAGGACAGGTGAGCTGATGATGATGCTGAGCACAGAGCACGTTTGTGTACTAATGAACAAAAAAGTGTCTTCATCTTTGTGCTGTGCTATTGTGTCATTTGATGATACGGCTAAAGGAATTCATGTTTTGTACTTATTGGATTCATGTGCGCAAATTGGCAGCTGTGGCTTAGGAGGTAGAGCAGGTCGTTTCCTAACTGAAGGATTAGCGGTTCGATTCCCGGCTTGTCCAGTGAACATGTCGAAGTGTCCTTGAGCAAGATACTGAACCCACAGTTCCTCCCGGTGATGTCACCGGTGTGTGAATGCATGAGTGCTTGAGAGTGTGAATGGGTGAATGGCCGAATAATGTGAAAGCGCTTGAGTGTGCTGTAAAAAGCATAGAAAGGCGCTATACATGTATAAGACCATTACAAATTTAGAAGTGCTCATAAATGTCCTCGTGTGTGTACAAATGTAATCTATTGTCATTTATTCATAATGGCCCCGTTGACGTGGACAACGTAACCCAAACAGCTTCTAAGTGAGTTTGATACAGTTTTGGACAAAGACACAGGATATAGGGGGGTAAATGGAGACATTAAAACCTCCTCGCTTTTTGTTTGAACTGCTGTCCTGTGTTGATGTGTTTTATTTCTCATGGGCTCTGTGCAGGTGTTGAAGTGGGAAAACCCACTCACTTCACTGTGTACACAAAGGGGGCCGGCAAAGCCAAACCTGAGGTGCATTTCAGCACAACAGCTAAAGGTGAAGCTGTGAGAGACTTCGAGATCATCGATAATCACGACTACTCCTACACTGTCCGCTACACCGCGGTACAGCAGGTAGGGGCACACCTGCAACTTGTGTGATTTACAGAGTCAGCTTTGATAAACCTGTTTGATAAACCTGAGCCAGCTGTAGTTTGTCTCCATCAGGGAAATATGTCAATCACCCTGTGTCATGGAGGAGACCCCATCCCTAAAAGTCCATTTAACATCAGGGTGGCCCCCCCATTGGACCTCAACAAGGTCAAGGTTCAGGGCCTGAATAACAGTGAGTACCTCTGACTTCATACTGATGGTTTTCTTCTGGAGCTTAGCTGAGCGGAGCGGGCACACAGCTGAACCCTCACTCATCCTTCACAAAGTCCATTGATTAAAAACACAAGCCCTCACAGTTCTGCCTGTGCTAAAATCACTGTGATGACAGCTGCTTGTGTAAGTGCAAACAAAAACAGACCAGTAAAAGACAAACTGTGATCATGTCGTCATGTGTCAGTGTGGTTTGGTATCATTAAGACTAATTCTGAATTTAAAGTCCAAAAAGTTCCCTTTGAGAAAAAAACAGGACCAGGATTGTAATCTAAAGTTTATGGAGCAGAACTTTATTTAGGGTTTTACATTAATGAGCTTTCTCAGTTTAGAGAATCCATGGGAAAACTCCAAATCCCACAATACATTAGGACCACAACTGTGACTGTAGGAAGCTGTTCAACCACCATTCTGCTTGTGTGTCTGTGCGTTTGTACAAATCACAGAAGTGGATGTGGGGAAGGACCAGGAGTTCACCGTCAGTACTCGAGGAGCTGGAGGCCAGGGAAAACTGGATGTGAAGATCATCTCCCCATCACGCCGACCAATCCCCTGCAAGCTGGAGTCAGGCACAGCCAATGAGCTTCACACAGTGAAGTACATTCCTCCTGAGGAGGGACTGTACAGGGTGGACATCAATTACGATGGAAACCCCATCCCTGGAGGTCCGTTCACTGTGGAGGGCGTCATGCCCCCCGACCCTTCGAAGGTGATTCACTGGACAAAGCTTCTGTTAAAAATATGTTTCATAGATTTTACTTGTGTTTGTAAGAATTGTCCTTAAAATCTATGTTGCAGAGCTTCAAGAAATTTTTAAAATCTGTTTTGTATAACATGTTTCAACAGAAATAAATGAGCTTAAAGTGTTTCTTCACCCACAGGCATCATACTTATTGACCTTGTCCTGTGTCACCGTCTCCTGCAGCTTACACAATTTGCTACAGGGAAAACACTGAAAGCACAAACTCACTAGGTGGTAGACCCACAGTGTGGGAGTCTCCTACTTTAAAGTGAATTAAATCAGGAGATCTTTACACAGCAACTGCAGCGATGCTACTCGTGATGTACAGCATGAAATCTGGTCTGAATAAAAAGTTTCATCGTTTTTAGGAAAGGTTCATGGAAATGCTGTATGCTAGCAGCTTCTGCAAAACTACAGACACTTTTCTCATGTCCTGGTGTCTCATGTTTTTATTTGAACCCCCCCAGGTGCGAGCCTATGGTCCAGGTCTTCAGGGCGGAGTTGTTGGTAAACCAGCCCCCTTTGCCATCGACACAAAAGGGGCTGGTACTGGGGGTCTGGGCCTGACGGTGGAGGGGCCATGTGAGGCCAAGATCGAATGCCAGGACAACGGTGATGGGTCCTGCTCCGTGTCCTACCTGCCCACTGAACCAGGCGAGTACACCATCAACATCCTGTTTGCAGACCAGCACATCCCCGGGTCCCCCTTCAAGGCCATGGTCCAGTCCATGTTTGACCCCACGAAGGTGACGGCCAGCGGCCCCGGTCTGGACCAAGGCAAAGTCAACGAGGCCGGATCCTTCACGGTGGACTGCTCCAAAGCAGGAGAGGCGGAGCTCACCATCGAGATCATCTCAGACTCCGGAGCCAAAGCCGAAGTTCATATCCAGAAAAACAGCGACGGGACATACTTCATCACCTATATCCCCCAGTTCCACGGCATGTACACCATCACCATCAAATATGGAGGACACACGGTGCCCTACTTCCCCTCCCGACTGCAGGTGGACCCGGCTCTCGACACCAGCGGGGTCAACGTCTATGGGCCAGGAGTGGAGCCCAGAGGTGAGTGATTACAGCTACAAGGTGCCAGGGCCACAGTTTATTTAGTGCTGTCAAACCTAAACCCAACACCTGCTCATCACATTGGAATCTATTCACATTCTCTCAGACTGATTTAGTTTTACTTCTCAGCAGCTTAAAGCAGTGCTAACTATTGAATGACTGTTTGTGGTCCCCAGGCGTCCTGAGGGAAGTGACCACACATTTCACTGTGGACGCTCGAGCTTACTACAAGAGCGGCGGCAGTCATATTAAAACGTGCATCTCTAACCCTTCAGGCGCCAACACTGACACCTACATCACGGACAAGGGAGACGGCACCTACAGGGTGGAGTACATGCCATACGAGGATGGTGAGGGTGGAGGCTGCATACTGCACGTGTGACACGAGACAGTGTGTTTGAGCTGAATGTGCTTCAGTCAGCAATATGAATAAGCCTCAGCGCAGCAACAGACAGTGCAGCAGTGGGAGGGCAGCTGCTGCTTTATGGGTGTATTCCCAGCAGCATGGTGAAATAAATTGTCTTGTGGCTTCAAAGGCTTCTGTAAAAAGAAGGAGAGGCTTTAACACTATAACTACAGAATGATTTCATCATGTTCAGGGCTCTTAATGTGGTAACCTGACTGAAGTTTTTCTTTAATGTCAACAGTGTCTTTGCCCCACCAACCAAATTCTACGAGCTGTTTCACCTCCACAGTGGCTGTCAGGACTTTAAATATACCAGACAACAGCTGCATCTGAAACATTGCTGTTCATTTCCACCACTGATTTTAGCAGTGACATGAAAAGATCTGTATTTTCAGGTGTAGCAGCTGCTGTTGTGCTCACATGTTAACCAAACATGTAAACTACCAGGACAGTTGTTTATTTGTTAGTTTGTTTGCACAATATAAGAAGACTGTGGTTCATTGGGTAGAACAGTTGTCTCCCAATCGGAGGTTCGAATCTCGGTGTCTGCAGTCCACGTGTCGAGGTGTCCTTGGGCAAGACACTGAACTCCCCTGTTTCCCCCCGATGGTTAGAGAAATCGGTTGAATTGGCGCCGCAGATGGCTGCCATAGGTTCTGTACCGGAAACAAATTCCTTGTGTGTAACATACTTGGCCACATAAAGGTGATTATTATTATTATTGAAAGATAAAGTAATTAATGCATGAGATAATATTCATAATGCCAAGAGAGGTGCAGGAAGAGCTGAAAAACCAAAAGGAGGCACTTCTCAACTTATTACATTGCATCCTAACAACAACAGATTGCATGACAAAAAATGTAATCAATTCATTGATTTTCTCAGCATGTCACAATCTACAATATTATCCAGAATATAAAGGCACTACAATTCTCTGTGATATAGCTGTTAACATATTTTTTAAAAGCATCTGAGGAGCCTGACTTCAAGGTTCTGGAGAACATGGTCCGAAGCTGGCAGCTGTTCACATGCTGGACAAGACGTCTGTGTGTTTACATGTGTGGGTGCTGAAGACCACCCAATGTGACAGTTAATGATAAATGGCTCCACACAGGTACATTGTTTACAGTGACGGTGGCTTTAAAAGAGCAATTGCAGAAGTGGATGTGTAGGCGAGAACGAGTCCAAGCTGGACAGGTGCTCGCAGAAAGGTGGACTGAAATTCCTTCAGTTTTTTTTGTGTCCGACCTTCATGGCTTCATGGCTGATGTCTCACAGCAGTTGTCTTGTATGATGTGACTGCTTGTCTGTGTTTTGCTGTATATATCTTGATGTTTGGGGTTCAAGGTTCCTTTATTGTCTTTCTACACGTTTGACACATGAAGAACGAAATTAGTCACTCAAGACCAGCATATAATAGAAAGAAAGTCACTTTCGGCTTTTCCCGTTTAGGGGTCGCCACAGCGAATCGTCACACTGACGACTCGCATGTTGACATTTGGCACGTGTTTTACGCTGGATGCCCTTCCTGACGCAACCCTGATTTGAACCCGGGCCGCAGCGGTGACAGCGCTGCGCCTTAACCACTAGCATATAACAAAACGATATAAAATAATAATGAGACAATAAATAAATACACTCTAAATGATAAAACCTAAATGTAACAACAATGGGCATCATATTGTAATGATTCCTAGAGCGACCTAGGCCTAACCGGAGACTAACCTGTTGCGCAATGAAGACAGATAAATCCACACCATTTTGCCTTTTTAGGCGAGTCTGCTGCAGCTTCACCAGACTCCACTGTAACTCTTTATTAGCTCTCTTCCTTCCTCAACAACGTAGAGCAACTCACACAGAACAGGTAACAATCACACACTTGTTTTTCTGCCCTGGCTCTTCCCCCTTTTTTTT